GGAACGCTGCGTATGTAATCGATGGTGCTGATCATGAATTTCATACTCGTTGCGACCACTAGGTCTTTTTAGCCCGATAAGCTTGATAGCATCGCGATTGTGATTTACTTCGATATCAACTCGCTCTATTGTTGATGATTTTCAGGACGTTACGATGATCACATCCTACTTCGATCCTGCTTGACAATTAGCCCTAACGCAAAACTAATATTAGCGACAGTATCTACGGTAAGCTTTCTCTGAAAATGCAAACAGGAGAGTAAGTCCATCTAAAAGATACCACGAGTTACGAAAGGTGATGAGACCTATCTGCTTCTTCAGCTTTTATTCGCACTGTTGGAGACCATTACTGTTGTAATTGAGCTCGATATACCATCTGTTAGGCAAATAATTCAATATTCGAAATTAAAATTCATTCATAAAGTTATATACAATCAGTCTCCTTCCTACCTGAGAAGTCTAATTACGTTAAAAAGAGACACAAAAACTAGACAAACCCGTCACTATGTACCGATAGATATAGTTCCTCCAACATCCAACACATCTTTTATAGATAGGTCAGTACTGGTGAACGTTATACATGACTGGAACAAACTGCCCTACGAAATGCGATCTATCACAGATACTGAGAACTTCTCTATAAAATTGAAAAGTCTCCTAAGTTTTCCATCTCGGCTACCAGTTTGGTATAATGTAGGAAGTCGGGAACATTATTCATCTGACCCGTATACGCCTAGGCTTTAGCTTTCTATTAGCAGACCAATCTAAACCTCATGTCGTTGCGACATCAAATTGTAGTCATTGTAACAAGCCTGAAACAGCTGAGCACTACTTTTTAAAATGCCTTCGATTTGTCCAGGAAAGATCCATATTGTTGAATAATATAAGATCGATTACTGCAATACCACCAACTACTGAACTCATTCTAAAAAGGTCAATTAATCTTACCCCAGAACAAAACATCCTTGTCGTAAATAATGTCCACAAATACATCGTTGACACTAAAAGATTCATTTAACATTCTTTACTTCTTGTGCTACTCTATCTATTTTTATATGTAGAGAGAAAAAGTTTTTTGTATATTACAATCCTCGTTAAATAAATTAAACTATATATTACTGTTGCAATGAGCTTTGTATCTACTAGCTGTATCTTCTTTTCTGTTTTGGTCAGAAAATATTAAAAAACTTTTTTAAATGCTGAAAAATGTCAGAAATGAATGTAATCCAGTTAGCCAGAATTTTCGTGACCTGAAGAGAAAAACAGATGTAGCCAAATAAAAACATCATTATAACAGTAATGGTTTTCATCAGTAACTCCGAATAAAAAGTTGAAAAAGCGACTGTTGAACGTCATATTTGAAATCAGAATAGAGTCATTCATGGATTCTAGCGATCTTGCAGGATATTATTGTACTAAACTAGTTTAACTCTGCGATCAGATGTTGTCGAAAATTTGATTAGGTTTAAAATCGTGCACAATCAGTCATTCTCGTACAAATACTAGCATTCTTTTGTGTACACAGTAATCCTAGGTAAAATGCAGTATTTTTTTTTCTATCGATTTGCGTTTAATAATTTTATTTTTTTTCAGTTCTTTTACGAAGAAAACAAAAGTAAAATTTGTCTTATTAAGTGTTGATGTGTTAGTGAAAAAGAAATTAAAATTCTATTTCGGTATTGCCCACATGTATATAATCTGTCTGTTGGAAATAACCAAGATATTATAAAAATAGAAACAGAAACAAAAGAATCACCAACGCTTTCGCGAACGACTCTTCCGCCAAATAATGTATTCTTTTCGCTTTTTCTTTGAGTACAAGAAAAACTGGTATGTAATTCATAATCTCTAATAAAAACTGGATCGAAATTATTATTGAATGGAAACTACTATGTTTACACAGCTGAGTCCTGCTGTTTTTATTGTATGTCTTATATAACTACGATGACTTCTTACGTGACACTACTCTTCTGCGAGCTTTTGCAAGTACATGTTAAGCAAACTAACAAAAGAACGGGTTTGACTAGACGTGGTCTAAAATAAAATTTTAAAATAGCTTCAACTTAAAATACTGATATACCAGATCCTCTCACCCTCCACCCCCCCTCTCCTCATTGCCACAAATACCTGAATTTGTTTTAAGAAAAATTCGCAGAAGAGTCGGTTCGCGGAAGAGCCAGTTCACGGAATAGTCTTGTTGCGGAAACAAACATCGTTTTATTGGCGGATACATCTGGTGTCGATGGCACAAATGTAGATTATTCGCTAAAATAAAAGGATGACAAATTCTTAAGAGTGCAGAAGTTTTGACTCGGTCAGACAAAGCTCGATTGGGATCCGACTCCAGTCCGACCGGATCGGTTTTGGAATTTTTTTACTCCGGTCTGTCTTGCAGCGTTAATTGCACATTGTTTTCGCTCGAAAACTGGTATAAATATACTTCTAACACAACGTTAATACTTACATTTCCTTGAGAAAAGTTGCCTTTAAAAATAGTAAAAATAACACAAAAAAGTTATTGAACGTGGCGACAAAAAGTCTGAGATGGTACGACATCATCAGCATCAGTTTGAATTTAAATGAATAGGCCTATTGGCACCATCGCTGGTGCCACCAAGAAGCTATTAACGCTACTAACGGGTGTCAGTCAGAGCTATTGGCATGTCTAATTGGTGTCAATCAGAGCTATTGACACCAGTATACAGAAACTGAGTGTTGTGTGGAGACTAAGAGTACGTCCTCACAACAGGAATTTTTTTATAACAAAACAAATTGGTGAAAAAATTAGTTCAGGTAAATTAATTGATGTTCGATAGTCTGCATTCTATTGCCGATTACGTAAGTTTGTTCAGCGGCTACTACTTCGAACAAAAAAGCTTACTGAATTTTTGCAAACTGGATAATAGTTGACAGAAGCTAACTAGATATAAATTTTAGATCCAGTTTCGGTTGAAGGAAGCATTATACTTGCCAAATATGACCATCTAAAAAAATTTTATAAATCACAACAATCGGCGGAAAGTCCCTTTTCTACTGGAAAATGTACGTTAAAAATGTTAAAATCAATGATTAATGCCCTAATAGTCTTGAAAATATTCCCGTTAGTAGAGGAAAGGTCATAATCTAGTGAACTTTATATAAAAAGTGTTTCTGTCAAAGTTGTCGAAGAAAATGGCTGAGCAAATCGTTGTGTTCTCACACAAAATAGATTAAAACCATATTTTTAGGTTGTAGTGAATTTTAAAACTTTAATATTGTCTGCCTATGCACTTTGTACTATTATGAGCTTGTCCAATAGTCGTCCAATAATTGAAAACATTTACCTACATAGCCAGCTCAATGTGCCCTACAATCTGGACAGATCAGAAAATTGATTATGGACAAAAACGTTTTCCGCCTCAGGAAAACGAAAATCTCCCTGAAGATTTCCAAAAAAACGATTACAGAAGGTCTAGTAGTCCAAACGAGTATCATCTTCAGATTGAGCATCCCCGATTACTTATTATTGTTAGCTCAACTTAATCAAAGGCAATATGCTGATAAAGGCAGTTTTCTCGTAAGTCTTCTCTCTTTTAGGACTAGCCATGTCTGGTTCTCTAGTTAGAGTCGAAACGAGTAGAATCGTGGTATCGGTTCCGAACTTAGAACAGAATCGCGGTTCTCGGTTCCCAGTTTAGAATTCGAAAAGAATTTTTCAGGCAGTAAAACGAAATCGACTTCATTTTACAGTAAACAAAAGGATTCTTTTAAATGATGGCAAGTAAATATATCTTTTCATAGTTTTGTCAATAATGTCAGTTGTTGTCAACAATTTCAGTTGTTAGAAGAAAGACAAAAGGATAAAAGCAGAAGAGAAAAGAATGAATTATTGTATCGCCCTTTTTTGCATTTCATAAACAAATACAAATTTGATCGTCCGTTCACAATCGTTCTTTTTCTTTCGATGTTGCACTTTTTTACCTTGAAACTGTTAAGAGGGCGGGTTTTTTTTACCAGTTTCTAGAGGACACTTCGTAGTATAGGATCCAACAAAGCTTTTGGTTCCCAGATTTATCGTCTTTGATTAAAAATATTTTTAATTTTGTATTTCAGGTTTTTTGCCCTATTTTTAAAATTTTAATAAAAACTTCAGTTTTTGATATGAAGAGTTGATTCTAGCGTAGTTCGATAGAGAACATTAACTTGCATTAGAAGAAAAACGTTTGATCATTTCCAAATACAGTTTGACCAAGAAATTTAACTTTCACCTTCTCGAGGAAATTTTAGAGCTAAAACTATCTTCAAGAACGCCTTACCGCTAGTATCGCTCGAAACAAACAATTTGAAGCAAAACTTTGAGTACAAAAATTGTTCAAAAGCAAACTCCGGAGTCCCTCATGAGAGCTTCTGTTGAAATTTTCTTTTTTTGATTGTTAAATTGAAAACTACGAAGCTTTAAAGTTTAAGAACTGAGAGTCAAAAACCTTCCGGACATACAATTCGAAATATTCTCTATAAACTGGGAAGGTTTATAGAAAAACTAAATGGGGGATTCCCCCTAAGGTAAAATAAACTATTAAGTTAATAGTTCGCTCATTTTCTTTAAATAAAACTGCCTATGGTTAAAAGAGCCTTGGTTCTGAAAAAAGGGAATTGTCTAAAAAACCGCGGTTCCTGTTCCATTTTCAGAACCATCTGTGCGGCTATGATTCCCGATGAAGAACCGTATCGGTTCTTATTGAGAACCGAACATCCTGTTTGGGACTAATGAAATAAAGATTTTTCGGTGCACGTGTAGCATGCGCTTTCTGTTTTCTATACCGGAACACTGGAATTCGATAATACTATCCTCAACCGACTTAGTGTTGGCAAAGTATCCTATGCCAATTTTTTCAAGGCAGCTGTTTTATTTAACCGTTAAAATCGATAATTTCATAAACTATATATAAAAAAGAGAATCAAAACTGCTCACTAATTCATAATTCGAAATACAATTTCAAAATGAATATATTACAATTATTTTAGTGTAATTTAATCCAAACTTCTGCTGGTGCAAGTACGATTTTTTCTCGTATATTAAAATGTTTTTCGAGTTTATCACATTTAACAACTGTATACTGTTTTAATAATCTTGTCAGAAAAATTTTCATTTCAATCATCGCAAATCTTAAACCAACACAATTACGAGGACCAACGCCGAACGGCAGATATGCCAAAGGATGTCGTTTTTCTTCATGTCTTTCTGGATAAAATTCATTGGGATCGTGTGGACCCCATAAATCCGGATCATAGTGTACACTAAAAACATCAGCTTGTACAACTGAACCTAGAAAAATGAAATTATGATTGATTTTCGGTTTGTATCTTGTATTATACATTCGTTTTACCTTTCGTTATTTTATAACCACACACCGACGTTTCATTCATACATTGTCGACTCACACCTGTCACCGGTATAGGATACATTCTTAGAACCTCTTTAATAAACATTTCCATGTATCCCATGCGATTAACAGCATCGTAATCAAGGTCTTTTTTTTGGTCTTGTTCGCTATGATCTCCGAAATATTGATCAATTTCTTGTTTTAATTTTTTTTGTACTTCTGGATAATTTGCTAATATATATGTGCAGTAGGCTAGTGCGCTCGAGGTTGTTTCGTAACCAGCAACCATGAACACAAAAGTATTACTTTTTACTTCGTTATATGTTAATACTCTCGACAATGACTCATCATCAACATCTTTTTCATCCTTACAAATATATAAAATACACAGCATCCAGCTTCGCTAGAACCTACTAAAGAAGTGCGATAAAAACACGTGTTTTTACATTTCTGACATAAGATCATTAAGAAGAATTGCCACTGAGGTTTTACAATAAATTTGCAAGATTGTTTTCTTTCTCACAAGATATCCTAATTTTCTTCACTGGATTCTTCATAAGTATTTCTAAATCAAAAAAACTAGCCATACGGCTGCATATTCACTTAAACTTAGGATATCTCGTAAGAAAGAAAACAACTTTGCAAGTTTGTTGTAAAATCTCAGTTGCAATTTTTCTTAGTGACCTTGCATTAAAAATATGAACACACGTGTTTTTATCAGACGAAACACAGGACGATTTCCAGTATGGAAGGGAGCCTCACGTAAGAAAAAAGCTTTTTTCTTTCAAAACATGAAGAATACTGTAATCGATATATCTACTAGAAGATTCTAGAGTTTCTAACTTACATAATATGTAAAAACGAAGATGAGTGAGAAAAATTTAAAGCGGTTCATTACCGAAGTACCTGGTTTGGAGCAACAGCGTTTATCTGACGAAAACACAGCTTTTAAAAGATGTTACTACCGCACTATAAAGTAAAACTAGCGTTTTTCTCCGAAAAAATGGTATGGTTCTAAACGGGGCAGTTTTCCATCCACTATGTTCGTTCATATTTTCGCAAGTTTCAAATCCATTAGGAAAACAAAAATAACGGGTGGGTCAGAATAAACGACGCATTTTTGTTCTTTGTTTTCGACACACTTCCCAGTGGTGCAAAGAGTTGGTTCTAGGCTCAATCGATAGAGTATTGAATTCTCCACAAAACCTTTTGAATCTCCGAGAGCATTTTTCTCGTTTGAGCATCATTTAAAATATTGAAGGATCCTGAGTTGTCAAACTGCGACACACTGAAAATAGAAAAAAATTTACCATGAACTAAAAAGAGATTCCATAAGAATTTTGAAAACATCAGAAGATTCACTGGAAAATTCTGCATCTTCTCACATATTTTTTGCAAATTTTTTGCAGTTAAATCTTCTAGGAAAATTTCTCTGTGCAAAAAACTGATAACTCTTAAAAAAGCTAACTTTTGAGTCTATTATTAACAGACTTTAGTTTTTTGACTATAAAAGCAGTAAAACGTTCTGAATCCAGGATTTTAGTCTTATTATCTTACACATAATTAAGTTTTGCATCTTTTGGTATATAAACAAAGTTTCTCAATTGAAACCATTAATTAAAAAATTAATTTAATTTGAAAAAATTGAAAAGCCGGTTGAGAACTTCCAGCTGACATAGCGGAAAGATTGTATAAAGTTGTAAATCAGTGAGATCGATAGAACACAACATTCTCTACCTTCGTGTGTAGAAAAATTAACTATTGAACCACAGACAATGGGCTAAAAATCAGAAAAAATAGACGATAGACAAGTCGCAGTTCGACAACTCAGCACCATTCAATATTTTTGTATGGTAGTCAAACGAGAAAAATGCTGTCAGAGATTCAAACAGCAGGTTTTGTACTCTATCGATTGAGCCTAGAACCTACTCTTTACACCACGGAGAAGTGTCTCAAGAACAAAGAACAAAAATACGCCATTTATTCTGACCCACCCGTTACAGTTGCTTTTAAAAAATGCGATCGCATTTTGGTTAGAAAAATAATTTTATAAAGGTATCTTAGATCCTTCTTTTTGTTAATTACAACTGATTAATTAGATACAATTATTTTAGTTTTAGGATATAGAAGCTGGTCTCCTCTAATTTTCCATTGTAATTCCTAGACGGAAAAATATATCCTCATGACAAATTTGGCGATAAATAATTTGAAAACGATTTCGTTTTCTCCCAAATCGACTTTTGAGTTAATCAACGTATGGAGCACTTCAAGTTACTATTTAAGCCATACACGTACTTTACACAAAAAACGATTTAGAAGCTGGAGATCTTTCCTCATTATCTAAGACTATTAGATAAAAATGTCTATACCGTTATTTGCTGTCGGGTTGCTGCTTCTAACATCAATTGTAATAGATCAACTCGTGCATTTGTGTTTTTCAATCGCAATTCGACCAACTCATGGATACGATTAAGGAGCCAAAATATTGGCATTTGTTGAAACATTTTTACTGACCATGGTATAAATTTATTTATCATTCCTTGACAATAATTATAGATAACAAATAGATTAGCAAACAATGTATTAAATTCGGGTATCAATTGTCGAAGTTTTGTTATTGGATGTGCACCTAAATCGATTGCAAATAATTTATCTGATTGTTTTAAATATACATTTTCCGGATCATTTTGCATATTCGTATCAACACCAAAGGCACAACGACCTGACGGAGAACGAAACACATAGGGACAATTAAAATAATGATATGGCTAATAACATGAACTTACATATAACATCCATTGTCAGACGTTTATATAAAACATAAATATTAAATTCTTGTTTTGATTCATAATGTTCGGCTAATTTGCTCATTATTTGATCAACACAATCGTTGATCAATGGTGACATTTGCTTTAATTTTAATGATGAAAACGTTGGATTTATAACAGAACGTTGTCGTTTCCATTTCAATCCATTCGCATCAAGTACTGATGCATTTGGTGACGATGACAAATTAAATGCTACAGTTGGTCGTCTTGCATAAAAATTTGAAAATTGTTTTATAAATACGTCTTGTAAAAAATCGACATCGGATACAACATACACAGGTGTTGTACCTTCAAATATACCATATATTTTCCCATATATACGTGTCCATTCTTGCATTAGTTTTGATCGTGATTGGACATTCCATATAGCTCTTAAATGACCATAAAAAAATTCATACGGTGGTGTGGGAATATTGCGTTGTTTGAAATATTGATAACGTGTAAATATTCTTAGAATATATGTTAAACAAAGACAAATAAGGATTGATAAAAGAATTAGTGTCAATGCCATTTTTGGCTGCTACAAAATCCGTTTATTTTACGATCAATGGAAATACGGAAAATAAATAATTATGTATACGATAAACCACGCAAAAAGGTGAAAAATAACAACAGCAACGTGTTATTCTGCATTTCGTTACTGAAATAAATATGCGCATATGAAAGGTAAGAGCAGCAATAAACTTTTCGTTCTGTTCTTTTTTTGTTATACTTTTCTTTGTCTTTCCATTTAGTGCAAGTCCACAGGCTGTTATAAAAAGTGTAAGAATGTTTGACAGATATACCATAACAAAAATTACAATGAATCAAAATAATGGAACGGGGTTGATTTCTACGGGAAAACGGTTTTTGATTAATTTGTGGTGGTGGAGATATCTGATCATATCCACACGGGGAATTCTTCCAGTACTGTACCGCCATTAAAGATAAGTTTGTCGCACGGATCGAGACATATCTCATTCGAAAGAGAAATCAATTCTAAACAAGAATATCACATTTAAAAATATTTTGAATGTCGGCGCGAGGTCTGCAGCTCGCTCACAAAACTTCGTTTCCATGGATTCTAAAGGGCGGTTGCTAGCCAATTTACTCTGGGATAGCTGACGCGATCGAGCCGCAACTTTTAGGATATATACTTGTTTTTGTCTATATCCTAAAGCGTTCAGGTTTGTCGCTTTTTTTCTGAGTTAATTATGTATGAATTGCGTCTTGTAACCTATAAAATCTCCAAATGTCGGACCTCACCAGAACGCCATGCCGGAGATAGAGGAATTTATATTTGCTCGTTCATACATCATTCGATACAGAATTGAATGAGGATCACGAATATCACATCCCCATCTTCCAAAACCGTTCCCTCACCGAGATATCCTCAAAATACTTGGAGCATATCAAAAACCTTAAAACCCTACGTTTTCAAAAAAGTTATCCTAGGTTTTCTGGATTTCGTTTTCGACTTTTGAGGTTAAATGTTTTAGATTCAGTGCTGAAAACTGAATCTAGGAAAGCAACTTTCAGACTTCTAGGATCGAAAATGAATTTTTTCCGGTGTCTAAAACCGGTGCGTGTTGAAAGCGTGCATCAAACTTTGCGACCCTAATTCAAGCTTTCCCAAAGGAGCTACGTAGTACAAAAAGCTGTTGAGTTTTCCATACGAAAAAAACTACATATTCCGCCCGCGGAATTATGATTATCCCACTGGATTAAAAGTGTTCACGAATTTAATATATAAACTATGTGTTTTATGGTTTTTGAACTTCGACTTTGCTATTAAACCATTTGCTTCATTTAAATTAAACTGGCCCGTTCTTTCAACTGCTTCTGTAATTCTTCAACTTGGACCTCTTGCTGTTTAATTTTGTTTCTAAGATATTTACTCGGTTCATTAGTCGAGTTTCGAAATCGTTTAACGTTGTCTCGAGTTTGACTATTGCTAAATGGTCGCGCGTATTGGCAACAGCAGCAGTAAAGTTTTTTGTAACTTCTGGCTTTTCCGCAGAAGTGCTTGATAAATGTACTGGCAAGTTAGATTTTTGACAGACTTCAGATACTGTAGAACTTTGCGAGAGGTTTGTAGCTGTGGTGGCTGGAACGATAGCAGAAAGTGATTTTTGAACTACAGCATCTGTCTTATCGGTGATTGCACTAGCACTTACTAAAGGTCGTTGTTGTGCTCATGTATTTTGCCCCGGTGTTGATCTTCGAGCGCTTGTAGTTACATTTAAATCTTTAATAGTTTGTTTCTGTTGAGCTGGCGAACTTAAATCATGACCATTTGATTTTGTAGGCAAGTCATGATCCGATGGATTTGACCGTTGGGATGAACGATAGTAATATGCATCATCATCATAGTGATATTATTCTTCTCGCCACGTTGGACACTGCTGAATTTTATGTCCCGGTTGCTGACATTTCTAGCACACAATCACTCTTGGTATAGTATGTTGAACTCCTCCCTGTTCTTTTTTATATTTTTCTAGCGTGCTTACACCATACTTTACATTCCCGATGCTAATGTAGCCTTGCTTCAGTATATCTCCAATAACTTTTGATAATATGAATCCAGCTTGTATCAGATTTAATTGAGAGATACCATTTTTGCATAAACGTAATCAACACGCACAATGTCATCATAACGATGACCAATTTCTCGTCGAACATCGTATAGATCTGTTCCATTTATCTTTAAACCGTGAATTACTAATGTATTTGTTCCTAACGATAGCGAGTGAAAAAAAAGATCCAGCTCATATATCAGGTTTTAAATCGTGGCCTGTTGCATAAACAAACTTCAAATCAGACTAGTCCAGTCTTGGGAATAGGAAGCCTCTACGTGATCTCTCGACCGTGAACCCTCTTATATCCGATGTATTGAGCGTAAACGTGATCGAATTATACAATTTCTGTAGAAAAGAGACCTTGTTTTGCTTGTGGGTGAAAACAAATCAGGTCCAGGACCGCTTGATTTTTGTCGAGTTATATGAACTTTGCCTGTTTACCAGTCACGCACACTATATAAAGAAGTTTTTCTCCTTGTTTTTCATAATGTATCATGTTTGGAGTACAATAATCTCGTATATTTTCTTCGAAAATGAGTCTAAGAAGAGTCAAGACGTCAGATTTTGTAATTAAGAAACTTTAAATTTAATCACGGCTGCTGTTAATGACTACAAAATGGGACATTGTAGATTGTGTATTATTCTGCTTTTTTTCACTTTCTACCGTAATTATTTTTCACATGAATGCATGTTGACAGGAAGCAAAGGTGCATAATTGCACAACTTCAACTATTATGACATAGATAAACGAGTAGAAAAAATGTGTATCGATAGAGGTCCGAAGTGAAGTGTAGATCGGCTATAGTTACATTATTCACTATATATACTACATGACCCATTCACAATATACGACTTCACCCCTATTTTTAGGTCATCGTAATGGTTCTTCCTTCAACTGAATTTTACGACAAACCGGAAGTTTGTGATATCTGAGTTTCTCACACTCCGGAAATATATTTTAAGCATTCAAAGCGTGATAAATCTTCGAATAGAGAAACAACAGAGAGAATCTCTATCCGCCTGAACCAAGATTCACTGTGAGCCATGTGTTCTTTCTTTCTTTCTCTACAATTCTGGTTGGGTTTTTCCACCCAACGTTCTCGGTTATTTCTTATTGTACAGATTCAAGAAAAAGATGATTCGAAAAACTATCGTTTCTCGTATCAGATAATTAATCGTCACGTGATATTCTTCATAGTGAATATATGCTGTACTGCTTGATATGATGAAAGCTATGCAACTGAAAACCTATATGGCAGTTTACTACGCGTTACATCGACTGTAACGCCATAGTTAGAAGCTAGCTGGTCACATTCGCATTTCACTCAGTCGACTTCCAATCTTCGCGGAATGCAGTTGGCATCTATAGATCCAACTGCGCACCTTTAGAGGTTTCAGAAGTATAAACCTTTATAGGTTCTGAGAGAAAACGCTGTTTTCCGGGAGTAGTTAAGCGGACTGTGTGAAACTTTTGGCTTATTGCTTTTCACTTTGAGCCATGTGTTTTTTCTTTCTTTCTGTGCAGTTTTGGTTGATTTTTCCACCCACCGTTCTTGGTTATTTCTGACCGCGTACGGATTCAAGAAAAAGATGATTCGAAAGTAAAAGCATCGTACACAACTAAAGTTAGCTTTCGGATATTTCCTTTAGCTATCGTATAATTAGTGTCACAAAATGAGTATATTTTTAATTTAAGCAGACTCTATCGTTTCTTCTATCAGATAATTAATCGTCACGTGATATCCTTCGTAGTGAATATATACTATAGTGCTTGATATAATGAAAGCTACAGCAGAATGTATGATAGGATAATGAATCAGCTGATACGATAATGTAAACAATATGCTGTAGAAGATAAATGTAGTTGAAAACATATACAGCAATTTACTAAACGCTACATCCACCGTGCTGCCATAGGCCGAAGCTAGCTGGTCCCAGTCGTCCTCCAAACGTCACGGAGCGCAGTTGGCATCTAGTCTTTCTTTCTTTCTCTACAGTTTTGGTCGATTTTTCCATCCGCTGTTTCTGTAAAGGAAGAATTCAAAGAAACAAGACTAGTCGCATCAGTTTCTCACACTCCGTAAATATATTTTAAGCATTCAAAGCGTGATAAATCTTATGTGCGAGTAACGGTCCTGTTTTTGTTTTTTAAATAGAATAAACTTAAATTCTTACATCAGGTGGTGAAAGTGTCTGCGTTCTTTGAACATTTTCATGTGTTCTGGTGCTGCGAGCATTGCCCAGAGCATACATCAGGAGTATACGCGAAGAGCGCATAATACAAGTGAAGAAATTCAAACAGCTATTGAATGATGTAGGGTTGCTATGCTCTGTCGCATCGCACATGTAGTCCATTTTCGTCAGCCGCCGGTGGTGCCCGTTGCAGCATCCTCTGCTTTGTTCTGTTGCAACTTATATATAGTCCAGCATTGTCGTATTTCATACGTGCTATATATAATGGTGATTTCTTTGCAATAAATCACTACGCTACAGCCACCGTCCTCCATTTGTTATTGTTTGCTCATGGTTAACTAGCTTGTGGAAATACTTTCAATTAACCACGCTTATTATACGACGCTATATAATCGATACTGGCGGTCATAGATCGTCTCACACAGGATGGTAGGAAAATTATTTTTATTATGAGTGTACAGCAAGTGTACATTTTAACATTACCTGGTTTTGAGAGATGGCTCCTATATTCAACTGACTGTCGTCTTAATCAATAGCACTTACTTTCATGATATTTATACATCGTTTAACGTAAACAGCTCTACATATATATACCCATTCGATTATTAAACTCTACGAAACTATACAAGTCAAGACATTATTTCTCACTGTTTTATGCTCAAAAAGTACAAAGAGAAGTTTTGATTTTGATCAAAGCCTGTTTTTTACTGAAACATTAAAAGCTTTACAAGAAAGTTCGTAATAAAGTTATTCAGTGTAC